AGATGACCAATGTGTATTCGATATGAACAATATCGGGGGTCTGCTCACTTCGGTAAGGAATCATGTCCAGGCATTAGATATGTCCACTGAACCGCTCTCAGCACTTTGTTGAATACATGTCCAAGATCGAAGATTCAAAACAATCTACACTATCTAAGCTCGTCAATCACTTATGGTACGTAATGGTCGCAAAGAAATTCCCCCGTGAGCTAAAAGTCAGTGCAGGAAATGTTTCCAGCAGAGTACTCAAGAAATGCATGAAAATTGTAAACCAGAGATCTGCAGAAGTAGGACTTGTGACGACGAAGATTGCACAGAGGATTCCCTACTCACAGGATGTGGGCATCATGCTTGTATGATTCCGGTAGAACCTCCGAAGCCCCTGGTGACCAGTCTGACAGATTTAGTGAGCTACCTCTCCTTTAAAAATTGCTCACTAGCGGTGCTTATACACTATTTAGAGCTCCAAGACGATCATCTGGCCATGAAGTCCCCAACGCCGTCATGACGGCACAGGATAGATTGGATTTGGAGGCAAGCTCTCGCTTAACTTATTACGTATTTCCGTATTCTGTCTCGTAGTCTCGTAAAATACAACGTCCACCGCCTGTATGACAGTCCTGGGCTGTATCGAAACCCGCGCCGCCAGGGACGGTCAGCCCAAGACGGTAGGGGCCGGTGGGCTTACTACACTTGTTTCTATGCACCCATTGTTGCCCGCCCACATGGCCTGAGCCTTGTAAACTTATCACTGCTTCGTATTGATTCTGTGAGTCTGGTTGAATTCCAAGTAACCAAATGGCTGCCACTACCAGGGCCCACCAGCGAGTCTATACCAATCCGCCAAGAAGGTACAGTGTCGAATAAACCGGATCCGACGATGAACGACTCGCCGTACCAACTCCGATCCACCAAGTCGCCAAAACCCGGATTTTGAGGTGATTTTGCTAAACGACTAGTGCAGTACTAGTGCCCAGAACGGTCGATGTGGTCCCCAGGGTTCCGCAACTTGCTGCTCGCCACAATCAACTTCGGCGAGATCAAAATTGGACATTGGGCTCAGCGTCGTTATTCACAGCCTATTGCTCCTCAATTCAACCATCTGCGAGCCAGGTCTCTTGTTAAGGTTCAAGCTGGTTACTATTGCCATTCTCTACGCCAATACACTCTGGCCTCGTTTACCTATAAAACCTTGCAGCATGTCTCTTCCAGTCAGCCCAACCTCCCATCTTTTTGTTCTTTTCCCCCATGAAGTTCGGAAAGTCCAGTCTTGGCTCTCTCAACTCTTTATTTAAAAGGCTTGATGCCTTTCTCAGTCGCAAGCGACTCTTGCCTTGCATCGGCGCAGGTCAACGCGCTGCGTTTGACGAGACAACGGAGACTGTCGTGCCTGAGAAACCTGTAGATATTGTACCAACCATGGTTGTAACGAAAGACGAGCAGAGGTCGCCAGCTTTCGTCGAAGGAGATGGACAGCGCCCATACGTTCTGACCAGGGCGAATCCCATTCCAGTGGCGGCTGACTCTACTTCTACCCTAGCGCTTCCCAGCCCCGTTACAGTACATCAAGAGCCACAAAAAAACCAGGAGGTCTGGGGTTTGTAGTGGCGTATTCAGGGGTTATGGAGCTTCCACCAGCAATCCGACTCGAGCGCCCAGGAAACGGGCCGTACTGGTATGCACCCCAGCTCAGCTTACCTAGGACTTGTCGAGCTAACATTCACAATAGATCGGAATATGCTATAGAACTGAAAAGGATAAAGGATGGTGCGAGTTGCCAACCGCGAGCAAAGACGTTAGGAAGGTCGAAAAATTACTCAAGCAAAGTGAGGTCAAGCATGTGCTCTTGAAAATGGGTGCTAATACAGAACCACCTTTACAGAGGGATACACAGAGTTCCGCATACTTTCTGATTCAAGGGGAACTCGACGGAAAGACTATCGGGATCCAACTCGAGACGAGATCGTAAGTCCAATATCACAATTGTAATAATGGAGTATCCTGACGTATAATATCAGATGAATGCACTTCAATGGCTGGTCGAGGACGTCCAAGCGGGTGATCGTTTGTTCCTACTCTGTGAGTTCCAGTGTGTTCAACTCTAGTCGTAAATCTCATTTCCACCTTCCATAGACTCTGGGCATGGGGATCAAGTAAAAGTAAAGAAGAATGATTACTCAGAGGTATGCTTGACAACCAACGCGAATCTTTTTATGCTGACCGTCCCAACCTTTTAGCCTGACGGAAGAGACGAGGGTAAGCCAATTCAATAAAAATCCCACCTCACGTCAACTCATCATTACCAAAGCCATCGTACCTCTCAACTGTGATGGAAACTATATCACGGACAATGAATTGCACAGAATTTTGGTGGAACCCATCAGACGTACACCAGAAAGCCAGCTCATAGTATGCATCTCCTCCTTCTATGGATTAGAATACTTCCTAACCTCGAGTGATCAAGGCGCTCTTCGACTGTTGTCATTCCGGAACGATGCTTGATATTTTCCACGAGTATACGGTGGATCCATCAAGCCCTCACACTGACCGAAGTGGGAACATTAGCAATCGAAGTATGTATTCTGGGCTTGCCTCTATAGATCTTTGCTTACCTTTTAACAGCTCCATTCCCGCTTCGTCGCCCAATCAGTATGGGTACGTTTTTTGTAACCATCAGCCCCATGATACTGATTGGATATAGATTATAGCCCCCCGGAC